GACTTCATACTTCCAGTGACTTGCTGGCCTTGCTGATGTAAAGATAGCCGTGTCTTCAGCTGCTGAATAACTTTTCTTCGGTTTCGTTAAACCAAACTAGCTTTTGAAATGGAAGCTTTTCCGAAGAGAAAAGTGTCATGCTACAATTCCCATTATCTGTCTGTCTGTCTGTCTGTCTGTCTGTCTGTCTGTCAATCAATCAATCAATCAATCAATCAATCAATCATCTATCTATGGTTCTCAATTGGTAGTCAAGCCAAAATCCATCCATCCATCCATCCATCCATCCATCCATCCATCCATCCATCCATCCATCCATCCAAGTGTATCTGTTGCCTACTCGTTCGATTCCAGGTAGGTTACAAGATACGCTGTGAATTATCAAAAAAATCTGTTCATAAAACCAATAAATCACAAACAAAACAGTTAACGATGATACCCCAACCCACAACTGCCGCCAGGTGCATCTGAATGTTCTTTTAAAGAGGGCTGATTTTTGCCATCTTCCGAAACGTCATCAAGGTAGGGGCAGCCCCTGGCCTTGCGGGGTGGGGCTCGCTGTTCCAGAGGGAGGGGGCTACTACTCCAAAAGTCCGTCTCTCGGTTCCAGCGCCCCCTCCCCAATTTTCTTTCAGAGGGAGGCTCAGAGCACCCTCTCCCAATCTTGGAGGCTGGGCAGCGTGCAGAAGGCAGAGGTGGTCTTGAAGGCAAGAAGGGCCCAAGCCGTAAAGAACCGTTTCGTTACAACTCCCGTGGAAAGAGAGCAAGTTTGGGAAATCTTCCTTCATCATCCAGGACTGCAGTTGTTGGGGTCCCCCATCTGGAGGAGGGGTCAGGCTGGAGAAGGGCTGAGCACATACAATCTTGTCTTACACTGGTGTGTGGGAAGGACCTTGGGAGACAGGAGGGAGAGCCCCAGGATGGACAACGGGTGTGTAAAAGATATCTCAGCCTACTGAAGGAGGGAGGTGTGGGAAGCATCTCAGAAGGGACCCTCCCTAGTTTTCTGGACAGCCAAAGGAAACTGGGGAGAAACACTTCCAGTCTTGCAAGATTCTGTTAATGCAGCCTTACAATAAAGGTAGTGTTAGTGCTCACAGTGGGTGCTTCTTGTCTGGACTACCTCGCAGGGCTGGCATATGCCTGCCAGGGCTGTTTCTGTCACCGTGCAATTCTCTTAAGGTGAGCAGGTTCCCCTGCTGGCTTCTGGGTTGCGGAGTCTATTAAATTCCTAACTCTGGATTTTCTTGCCTCCGTCTCCCCGAAGGTCCACTGTCCTGTGGCTGGAGAGAATTGAGGGTGTTAAGACAAGAGGTGGGTAAATCCTGCTCTGTTTGTTCTCCCTTCCATGTTGGCCCTCCCGGTGACATCAGCCTTTCAGTGACGCAGATTGGGGAGGGCTCAGGAAGGGCTGTTTTTCCTGTTTATTAACCCCCCTCGCTGGATGAGCAGCGCTGCTTTTCCCGGCATCTGTGCAGCCCGTCCTATTTCCGTGCCAGTTTCTCTGGCTTCCGGAGATCACCTGGACCCCTCTCCCACCTAGAGAGAGATCTCTATTAAAGGATGCCTTTTAAGAAGAGAAGCACGCTGGCTGGGGAATTCTGGGAGTTGAAATCCAAGTTGGCAAGGTTGAGAAACACTGATCTAGATTCTGGCCGATGGAAGGCAAATCGAAGGATGGGACACGTTTTAGAAACTCTCTGTAAAAAAAATACTTGATTTTTTTTTCCTGAAAACCTTTTCCCCCCTTGCTACAAGGTGCGAGTCTACGTCCTCCTTAGAAGTAAGAGGTGAATCCTCACGGTTCCCCAAAATCAGAAGGAATCTGGTCGCAGCTTTTCCAACCAGCACATTTTATTCCAAGGCATATCACGATGCCTTGGAATAAAATGTGTTAGCAGGACAAGGTGCTAGGGGCTCCTGATTTTTTGCCATCATAATCGGCTCTCTTCCTACAATATCTAGGACAAGGAACGTCGTGTTACCAGCGTTCAGGCTTAATGTTCAAACACAGATGTTCTCAGTCTGGTCCATAGAGGGAACTGGGGGACAGACAGCCATAAGCTTTGGTTTAATTAAACTAAGCTGGTCTTTTCTGACATCATGGTTTTAGGTTTGCAGGTGTCTGCGTGTGGGTGCTTTTCACCCGACGAGCATCATGATCTATCTGCAGGGTATCCGTCCACATTGGAGTGCTGATCTGCTAACTAAACAAATTTTTTAAAAATTGCAAAAGTGTAATGGGAGGGGAGGGTTGGGGCCCACCTTGGCCACACTGCCAGTTGTC